TTGGAGACAGGCCACGGCCACTCTGCAGGACACAATATGGCATATGCTCACTTGGTGAAGCCCTTAACACATGCAACATCAAATTGCTGATCCAATGAGTACATAAAGCTCACGTGAACCGTGACCACTTAGTGGCCAGTCAAAGTCATCGGACATACACGATCATATCTTTATGTGCCTTTCTTTGCTTTGCTCCACACCAAAATTCCATCAAAGAAAACTATAAAAATAAATTCAATTTTCTGATGCATACAGATCTGTGTATGAGTCATTCTTTCCATTTTAAATTGGCAATCAAAATACAAAAAATGTCTCATTATCTTGTTATGCTTTTCTTTTAATCCAAGGCAAGAATGAAACAAAGCCTGATTTAAATTTTAGACTTAAATTAAAAATACCATGAGGAAAAACCAACCATGGGCGGCCTGATGGTCCAGTGGTTAGCGCGTCGACCTCACAGTGCAGAGGTACTGGGTTCAATTCCAGCTCCGGCCTCCCTGTGTGGAGATTGCATGTTCTCCCCGGGCCCGTGTGGATTTTCTCAGAGTACTCCGGTTTCCCCCCACATTCCAAAAACATGCATGGCAGGCTGATTGAACGCTCTAAATTGTCCCTAGGTGTGAGTGTGAGCGCGTATGGTTGTTCGTCTCTGTGTGCCTTGAGATTGGCTGGCAACCAGTTCAGGGTGTCCCCCGCCTACTGCCCGAAGACGACTGGGATAGGCTCCAGCACCCCCCGCAAACCTTGTGAGGATAAAGCGGGTCGGAAAATGGATGGATGGAAGGTGTTCATGCAGATTGATTTTTAAAAACGTTGAATTACCTTCAACACAGGTAAATATTTTTTTCTCACAAACAATTGGACTTCAAAACTTCAAAATGACAGCATTCTACCAGAGTTCATCAGCGATGGGAGAACTTTTTTTAAACTACTTGCAACTTGTTGCCGTCAAGCTGCTGCTAAAATGTTAAAATAACCACAAACTACTTGCCAAATAAATGAATGGACTCCATTTTTGATAAATCACGCGATGTTCACATTGATCACCGCGCGTTACCCGGCTGTAAAAAAACTGCTGTTCTGATTAGTGTCGTGGGGCATGTACACAACAGATCAGACTAGATCATGTCATATCATGTAAACAGCGTTTTCCTTCCGTTTGGTCATTTCGTTTTATTCTAGTCGCGTTACAGGGTAAACCCTGACTGGAAGATTCATAAAAGCACCAGCCCAGACAGTTTCATTGGTCCACTGTGACATCACGGTATATATGATTTTTACAGCAGGGGTGACAACTATTTATATGTACACTTCTGAAATAACAAAGACACTGATCATGGTAATGATTTTTCACAATTAGAATCACATGAATTTAACAAGGCAGGAAACACTTTTCCGATTGGTCAACTCAAATATTACACTGTTATTGTCATTCTTCTTTCAGCAACGGTACAAAGAGATGCGAGGAACTGTGTGGATATTTCTGGGCCTGTTTTGGATTTTTGATCACCACTTGCGAATGGAAAGAACAAATGACACACAGATTCATGCAAATGCTTCCTTTCAAAGACGTTCACCTGTCAAAAGTTAACATTTCCAGCAGTCACCTGTTTTGACAAATAGCTTTCCACCTCATATCATTGCGAACAGTACACTCCGATAAGGAGGGAATGAGTTTTTACCCGCTTTTCTTCTCTGATCATCTTGCTCCTGTTCATCACTCACAATCTGTTTGTACATGTACCGACAGTGGACATCGGAGCAGCCCCCGCCCTGAAAAATACACAACTGTGTGCCTGCACACACATCCACCCTGCCAAACACAGCTATAATAATAACCTCCACAAATACACAAATCCATGTGTGTGTGTCTGTTTGTCTGGGGGAAACGGGATATTATTGTCCCTCTCTCTCTCTCTCTCTCTCTCTCTCTCTCTCTCTCTCTCTCTCTCTCGCTCGCTCTCTCTCTCTCTCTCTCTCTCCTTAGCCCCTTCAAAGTGCACTTTTCAAGGTGCAGGGCTTGGTATCTCCATGGCAACAGCTTAGCGACCAGGATCAGTAGGAGGGAGGAGGTGGTGGGCGATGGGGATGGAGGAAGGAGAGGCGATGGGGTGGCTGTGTGGGGATGAGGGCCACAAAGGCATGCAGGGTACATCGACTGGGAACATTGTGACATTTTCTTGAGTTGTGATGGCGGGGACAAGGAGGGTGGGTCATTCTTCTAGAGGTGTGTGTTTGTATTTGTGTGGCAAGATCTGGCCATCTGACCATGTTTCCAAATAGCCATGTTGTTATCTTTGCATTAAGAGCTCAGATGTGATCTCGATGCTTGGTAATTTATGACCTCCCTCTGTTGAACACACACACACACACACACACACACACACACACACACACACACACACACACACACAAAGACTGTCACTTCACTGTCTGTCATTGTATAGCACTCTTCCATTTTAAAAAAGTGTTTACTGTACGTGTGTCTGTATCCATGCTGGCCCAGCGCTACCCACCTCTGTACTTTCACTTCCTCTTTCTCTCTCTAAGCTTTGAAAATAATTACAGCATATTTTTAATGTATTCCATCTTTGCAGTTCTCATTTGTATTGACCTTTTAGATGCCTTTAAGTGACAGAGGCAACTAACAAAGGCTGTCCGAGCTATGATCTCCAAATCCTTACTGGGATGGGCATCAGGAAGAGATGAAGTTTTGTGTGTGGGTGTGTGCCAAAATTGACTACTCAGTGAAGGGAAAATTGAATTGCATGAGTGACATGGGCCTGTTTGCCATGGGTGACCCTGCTATGGGCATAAAGCCCAAGAGAACTTAGCGCCTCGGATCATTGGGACACACGTACCGCTCCACCACAATAAGGTAATGACTCTGGTTACATGGCCTATTCATTTTGAAAGCTAAATTGAGATCAGCGCTGGTCGTCTGCAGCTCTGCATTTATGTCTCGAAATCACAGTACAAAAGTAAAAATACAAACCAAGGGCTAAAAATAATGAAATCATTTGAAGTTAATGCAATGCAAATTGACACAGCTTGAGAATGACTTGGGAGCTGAAGCTATTCAACATCACGCCTATGTTGTCCTAGATAGTGCAAACTTAATATTATCATTATTATTATTATTTTTAGACAAGATGTCATTGTCGACTTGAAGATACAGCCCATACATCAATCCATATTCTGTTGCACTTGTTCTCATGAAGGCTGCACCCGATCCTAGCAGACATTGGGCAAGAGTTGGATACACCTTGGACTGGTCGCCAGTCAAGTGCAGCACACACAGACAAACAAACCTTCAATTAATATAACATGCATGTTTTTGGAACGGGTCAAGAAGCCAAAGGACCTTGAGAAAACTCACGCGAGCACCGGGAGAACATGCAAACTCCACACAGGAATGCCAAGATCCGAACACCAGCAACTGTGAGGTGGACGTGGGCTATCATTCAAAAAGTCAAGCTGGGTAAAAACGCTCAAAGGGAAATGCAGTTGATATCATTTCATCATGTGGTGTGAAGAAAATAATATTTGAATCAATGCTAATGGAGACTAAAATATGTGCAAATATTTGTGATGTTAATGAAAACGTGAACCTGTGTGTTTTTTTTTCATGTGCAGCTTCTATTCACAAGCTTTAAAAAAACGTGTTGTTGTTGTGCTGCCAGGTCAATGCATATTTGATGCTAATTTCACTATCGCAAAACGTTCTAACAGAAGCGCTGATGTAAGAGAAATGTGTTGTTACTCTCCTAAAATCATGGCCAAAGTCATATTTTGACAAAATGTTTTCATTATTATTTTTTGCCTTAAAGGTCCCCTCAGCATGTTGGACACCTCTGCTAAAATCCGATACATCCTTCGTTAAATGGAGCATTCATTTCTACTGAAATGAAATGGTGAATAAATATATTTTTTTAAATGATCAGTATTTGATTCAGATTTACATATTTTCTAAAAAGGAAAAATGACTTCGGCCCAAACCCAACCTCTTGACTGGGCATTTAAAATCAATACACTTGTTTGTGGAAATCCAACATACTGTAAAATGTGCAAAAAAAGTGATTCATGATACACACACACACACACACACACACACACACACACACACACACACACACACACACACATGCAAATATATTGTACTTGGGAAAAAGAGTAAGTGACTTTCAACCTGCTAATTTTGTTTCCACAAATATATTACAATATTTATTGCCATAGTAACAGTGTTGCATATGTTGGTACCCGTCAACCAGAGGTGTCAAACTCATTTTTTGTCACAGGTATGGAAGTCATTGTTTTTCCTCAGAGTGCTGGAGTGAGTGTGAAATCACAGCAATATATAAGTGCGTAATTTAATTATACATCCACAATAAATTGATGGATAACTAATTTTGAAATCTGCAGTCAGGGTACATAAATTGTTCAGCTACTGTTCCGTTTAGTTTAAAAAAAAATAGATTAGAAAAAATTCATTCCTATTCATCCAGATGAACTGGTTAGGACGTCCGCCTCACATATATATATATATATATATATATATATATATAGTAAACGTGTATACGTGTGCGCGCGTGTGTGTGTGTGTGTGTGTGTGTGTGCGCGCGCGCGCGCATGTGTACGAAAAGTCCATGCACTTTTTGTGAGGTTGACTGGCAAAAAAATAGTGTCAACGATTATAGAACGCATTCGAAGTTTGACTCGAGGAAAAAGATCTCGTTCTTGATGATTCCCTTGAACAGATGTCTTCTCTCAGAGGGCCTGTCTACGGCTAACACACCTGTCCCAGTGTATTTTGCCTGCTTGTGAGAGAGCGCTTCATGAAGTAAAGGGTGGGGGTGGGGGGGGGGCTGCAAGCCAAGATAGAGAGGAGTTGATAGTGTTAGCGAGGAGAGTTGTGGGAGTGGAAGTGGGAAAGCGAGACTTCCACTGAGAGAGAGAGAGAGAGAGAGAGAGAGAGAGAGAGAGAGAGAGAGAGAGAGAGAGAGAGAGAGAGAGAGGAGAGGAGAGCTCCGTCTCTCCCGGTTCACTTGGCAGTCTTGTTGCGGGCTGCTGTGCTGTTGCTGTCGTGGCGTGGCTGGTCGCGCCAGGCGGGGGAACTTCACCACACTGGAGCCCGGAGTCCCACTCTCTCACCTGCGCAGTTCGGAGCTGCCATGGGTCTCTTTCCTGGATTTACTGTCCTAATCATTCTACCGGCCTTTCTGCTGCAAACCAGCGGCCTTTACATCGCCAGTAGCGTTGGTACGTACAACAGCGCGGGAGGAAACGTGGCCGGTGTTTACGTTGTTGTCTGTCCTATCGGCTCATCTCTTATCTGCACACATGGGAACTCCCCCGGTGGAGTGCGGAAGCTCCAACGCGGGCGTGCTTGTGTGATTTGTGCCATGCGATTTCTGCGAACAACTTCTGCGTGTCCCGCTTGCAGCGCTTAATTGCCGAGACTTTCCAGAGGTCCCCGGGCGGCGTGTTGGTTTGTCCACGGACCATCGAAAGCATCGTTACATGACCGGAATTGGCCGGGATCGGGGCAACCCCCCCCCCCCCCCCCCAACAACTCTTAGATGATGTGCACATCGATCTGTCACAGGAGGCTGGAGTCGGATGTCAGCATATTGATTACACTATTATCAAATCATTCTCTAACACGGTGGAGTACACATATTGTTGTGCGCTGTCTGAGTATTGCCAACCTGCAAACTTTTTGAAGATTGTGCATGGAAATGATTGACAGCCAAAGCAAGGGCACCTGAGGATCACTTGAAATGATGCTGCCGCCTGCGTGTGCTTCGTGTGTATGCGCAAGCGTTTGTGCGTGCGGGGCATCCCCTAAAACTTGCATGTCACCGTTACAGTCACGTGGTAAATAAAAATATTGCTCATTGCAAAAATGTGCATTTTATTCGGGTTCCTCTCTCATGATTATGAGGCGACAATGAATAGTAATGTTGACGCGTTGACGAGCGTGTGAGAGGCAATCAGGGAATTATTTGACAGATGGGTTTTGCTTTATTTCTGTTTCCTGTCTTTGAGCCTTGAGTCTTTTCGAAAGAAATTTTCTGAGCTCGAGCAGCCTGACAGTGAGAAAGCAGTGAGAGAGCCGCAGTTAGCACCTTGATCTCGCACTGGCATCCTTGTTGATGGTGGAAGGGCACAGAAGGTGTCGGGAGCGCAGTGCGCTCTGCTGAGGCTGCCGTTTCCAAACATGTCGCTTGCCTCCCTGCACGGGTTCGCCTCTGGGTTCATGGGTGTGTCTGTGCGTGTATGAGTGTGTAAGGCCCGCACCTTTTATTTCCTTTATTTATGATTGCTCACCATGTGACACATCTTGGATGGAAGAAAGCATTCCTCAGCATGCTTGACATTTCTTTAATCCCTTAATTTTCCTCCCGCTCTACTGTTTATGCACCTTTTCCTTTTTTTGGTCTCCTCATCTGTCACGATTGATCTATTCTTTCCATGTGCATTGTGACTCCCTCAATCACGCTCTCACCTCTGCGCCTCCTGTCCTTTTCTCAGACTCCCTGCAGCATGTCCTGGGGGAGTATGGACTGGTGAGGCCAATGAGTGTGGATGCAGAGGGCCACTTCCTGTCGCATGCTGTCTCGGCAGGCCATACGGTAGGAGGGCAGCCCCGTAGGCGCCAGAAGAGGGAGGTAGGAGGAGGCAATGAAGAGTGGGAAGAACCGAGAGGAGCGGACGAAGACCGAGAGCCGGCGGCCCGCCAAGAAAGGCTCTACTACAACGTCACCGTCTTTGGCCGGGAGTTCCACCTGCGCCTGCGCCATAACGCCAGGCTGGTGGCCCCCGGAGCCAAGATGGAGTGGCGCGACGACGACGATAGCACACGGCACTTTGAGAAGCTGCAAGATGACTGCTTGTACGTGGGGGACATCACAGACACGCCAGGAGCCACGGTGGCCATCAGCAACTGTGACGGCTTGGTGAGTGACTTGCATCCTTGCTGTTTTAATGGTGTGTTTGGGGATGGGATGGAAAGCTCAGAATACTTGTTCTTGACTCCGTCACTGTTCCCAAGGTGTTTTTCTGCTGCTCTGCAAACTTGATCTCGCTGAAAGCAAAACAACCAATCACAGCAGTAGACAATTAAGCTTCCCTCATAATATTTTCAGGTCACTTGGATGGATTTTTTTTTTCTGGCTGCCTCCTGGCAAGTTTTTGGAGGTTGGCCAGTGAGATGAAAGTTAGGTGTGAGGGTCTAAAAAAAAAAAATCATTAAAATTCAATTTATCACTTGAGATTTGTTCAAACCGCTAGATTCATATTTCATTTCTTCACATGCAGCTTATGTTTCCAGCATGATTTAATGAAGTCCTAACAGCAAAACACATAGAGGTGTTCTGAGGGCATGAAATTGTTCAAGGTGGGACTCTTCTTATCTGAGCAGGCTTCATCTGTTCATACACAGGGGCTAAAAAAGACACCTCTACACTTCAAACCTGGTAACATGCCAAGATAAAGGCCGGTACACCCTAAAGACTAGCAGGAGGTGTGGTGGTGGTGGTGGAGGAAATATAAAAATGTTTCCTCTACGACAGTGGACCTCTGAATACTTGTTTACCATTCGCATATTTTGTTTCAATATTCCTTACATTTTTTTAACTGGAAAATGTCATCCATCAATCCATTTTCTAATCCGCTTTATCCTCACGAGCGACGCAGGCGTGCTGGAGCCTATCCCAGCTGTCTTCAGGCAGGAGGCAGGGTACACCCTGAACCGGTTGCTAGCCAATCTCAGGGCACACAGAGACGAACAACCATCCGTGCTCACACTCACACCTAGGGACAATTTAGAGTGTTATATGAACCTGCCATGCAGATTTTTGGAATGTGGGAGGAAACCGGAGTACCCGGAGAAAACCCTCGCAGGCCCGGGGAGAACATGCAAACTCCACACAGGAAGGCAGCACCTCTGCGCTGTGAGGCGGATGTGCTAACCAGTCGCTCACTGTGCTGCCCAACTGGAAAATATATATGGAAGATTCATTTGCGTTTTTTTTTTTCCATAGTATATTTTGGGTTTACCATTCCCCCAATGCATTTCAAAGGGTGTCAATTATACAAGGATTCTCGCTATTTGCAGGCCGGTCAGGTCCCAATCCCTGATGAATAGCTATATTCCTCTGTGTTTTTTAAGTTATAATATCAGCATTCGCCATTAGATGGCAGACATGGCTTAGGCGGTTGCATTGGGTTTTATACTGCCTCATGCTACGTGAGTTGCCTATTTATATTTTGCCAATTTAGAATGACATGCAGGACAAACATAGTGCCTCAATAATACTTTGTATAAAATTTTATGTGAATTTTTTTTCTGAAAAAATGCACATGACTTCTTGCGCGTATTGTTGTTTTGGTCAGCAGTTTTGTGCCATCTGAATGATAACTTATGCAAAAGCATAAGTTATCATTCAGATAACTTATGCTTTTATCTTTGCACTGAAAAAAATAATCTCAGTAAATGTGGTTATTTCATTGTTTGCTTCACATCTTTTGTTGTTGAATGTTGTTGAATGTTGTTGATCTTTCATTCATGCATTGAGAAATGTATTATGAGAAATGAATTATATTAAGTATGCACAGTCCATATTTTTGGCATTGAGCTGCTTATGAAGTGCATCATCCTATATGCCCCCCCACCCCTTCCCCAGTAGCACTGATGAAAAATTTTGATAATATGATGGATGGATGCTGAGTTTTGATTGACACGGGTGTTGATTTCACAATATTGTCATTATTAAAGTCATAGTTGTAGCCGTTGAGTATTTGTAAAGTATATAATAAATGCCAAGTAATGTGTTGAGTCAATATGAGATTGTGAGGAGGAGATCCCCTCAGCAGGAAACTGCTCATTAGTCAGCCAGAGCAGCCCACCACGAGAGCTGAACAGAGGCAACTGGATCCGTTTAGGACTGAGGACGCTGGGGAGCGAGCGAGCATCTGAGGGAGCAGGCAGAGAGCCACGACAACACAGACCTGACATGCCCATTCAGCATGACACCAGCCAGCGGCATCTCATTGCCGCTACTTGCTCTGGCCTGCCATGGCAGGGCCTGTCGGCAATTTGGAGGACACGCTACTGTCAAAGTGCGATCCGATTGGGATAACGGATGAGCTTGTCAAGCGGTTGACTACCCTGCTTTGGCAAGGCACACGTTTGTAGCATAGTTCGGCAATTGTTGGTCTGTCATCGCCCTAATCTCATATTGACAAGCTAGCGCTTTTTCAAAGCTTTGACACCACTTAAGACTATAATAAAATAACATGTGACGACATATAAGTAGCTGCAAAGAAGATTTTAAATGGACAGACCTGTCCCTGCAAAGCACAATATTGAATTACTTTACGATGAGGATACATCATTGTGGGGCTGTCATTTGAAGGATCTTTAATCAAAGCTGCTGCTGCACGATCCACACAGTATAACCCCAACTATAATAACTATCCAGAGTTTTCTCTGAGCAACTTATGTCGTCACCCATTATTAGTTCTTCCATCCTCTGCGGGCATTCAAAGAAGTACAGGCAAGCTGTGTCAAGCAACGCTTTCTTTTTGAAACCCAGTGGAGCCACATGGCTGCCATTTGACCAACTGTGTCCCCTTCTTCAGCTACCCTGGGTCTTTCTGCCCCGTTGGTTCAGGTCCCAAAATTTCAGATGAGAAGCCCAGAAGGGCACAAGGGAGAATCTTTGGACAGGCAAGGAATTAGATTTATGTGACGTGTGGCTGTGATCAGCTGGTTAGCTGCTGGGTTGGTTGTGAGGACTCAAAACACTGTGCAACATTAGAAATGGGCTGTGTGGTGTGAGAGCATGTTCTTTTGTCTTTGGTGTGGGGATTTCAAATTAAACGGTGGTTTCTGTGCAAATCCAGAGCTTTGGGAAGCAATCGCTAGAGAAAACAGGAAATATACCACAGCCACATGGAAAGAGTATATCTTTGTGTGGTTTCAGGATTTCTTAAAATTGTGTACCGCAATGTCAATCCGATGTTGTGGGTCGGATTAAGGATAAATATATGGTTTGTGCTCTTTGTTTTTATCATTCCATTTGCATTGATTTTAACCAGTGTCCCACAGCAGAGAGGGAACAATGACGGACTAAGCGATAACCGAAGTGGCTTTTCGTCGGTCACTGTAATTGTTCCATTGACTATATATAGCAGTTCTGTCAGATGCATAGAATAATAAAACACTGCCCTGGCACTTTCGTGTGCCATGAGAGATCATCAGGTGAATTTCAGAATACGATCCAGTTTGACTTAAGTTGTCCAAAAATGACTTTTTATTGAATGCAAATTATGTTTCCATGTTAATCTCTCTCTCTGCTAGCAACGTATGGTGACAGGCAGAACAATTACCGTATTTTACGCACTATAAGGCACTTCGGAGTACAAGGCGTACTTTCAGTGAATCGTCTATTTTAAACTGTCTTCATGTATATAGGGCGCACTGCATTATAAGGCGCCGAGAATACAAGCTAAAATAGTGGCTTTGGTTGTGTTATGCATCCACTAGAAGCAGCTACGCTAAAGGGTATGCGATACAATACAAAGCAATACAGCATTATTTATATACAGCTTTCACAACCGCTGCAGCTGTAACAAAGCTGTTTCCAGAACATTTAAAATACTACTTGCAAGAAATCAGAATATTGATTCCTATACAAGGCGCATCGGATTAAGGCGCACTGTCGGCTTTTGAGAACATTGAATGCTTTTAGGTGAGCCTTATAGGGCGGAAAATACGGTAAATGCTCTCTTACAAAATGGCATAATTTAACCTGTGAATCCACCATTTGTCATTCCTACAACAGAATAATAGTCTTGTGTTCAACTGTACAGGTCCAGATATCACCTCAGTCAATTTGTGAGTAGATTAGATTACATTTCAAATACTGTTTCCATTTGTTGTGACATTTTTCTTTGGTTGTTACGTGTGCCGGTTGATTTTTGTCATGTAAAATAGGAAGGTCAGTAAGAGTTGTGGAAAACTGCTATCGACATCCATGGTACCAACCGGAAGAGCGATGCGCATCGCACCTGTGCAAAGAATATGCCACCATCTGAGTATTTTGGGGCTGTATTTACACATTCTGTGAAAATGCCATTCAGTGTGAACAAAGTACTGCATGCAAGCTTTAATAAGAGGAGACAGGGCTGTAACCTGTGGTTTGCATCTGCGATTTTAAGTTATCCCAGTAGAATATATTGACAGTTACTATGGCTATTGTACTTTAGCCAATGAGTAATTTTTTTTTTTTGTTTGTTTCATTGGCTGCATCATTACAAGAGTGGATCGATCAGATTGTTATTATACATTGAAAACATTTGATATATTTTTACCTTTTTAAGTACACGGGGCTGTTTTTTTAATCATTGTCTTGAAAAACAAACGTATGCTGATCGGACTGTAAATGTTGCAATCACTAATTGTTTATAGTCTCAAATACCTACTTCCTTTGACTGCAAATGCACACATGCACACACATTTTTTCGCGCGACTGCTGCCACACCTCGTAAGATAATCACTGGGTTCTGCTAAATGCTAGGGTAGCAACGTGAACGTGGGAATAGCGGGTCATATAGGTTGCGCTCAGCAGCGTACAAACAGTCTGCAAATGAAGTTCAGCTGGGTGAAACGGGATCCTCTTATCCTCGATGAAGTGTGGTGCCTGTCATTCCTGAGCTTGGGACCCAACTCCTGATGTGTGATCGTATTAACAGTGTCAATGCAACTTTCCTCTCAAACAGCTTCATTTTGCCATATGAAGCGTGCGCATTTCTCATGTCTTCTTCCATGCTTACAAACTATTTCCAGGGATATCCCATAAAAATTAACACACGGTGTTGAATTGAAAAAAATACTTTTAATTCAAATTAGGCTACTTAACATCTACATCTAATTTCTAAGTAACCAGTAAAA